GCTTATAGAATGATGATGGGGGTTGGGGGGTGAAATCATCAGACCTGTGTTTTAATAAGATAGTTTACATTGATAATCATTATTCTGAGCCTTGGCTTTTAAAAAGCTATCAGGATAGTGTCCTTTGAAAATGGCAAGCGGTTAATCAAAAGCATTAGGCACCTAAAGTTAACTGATTTGTGTGCAAGGCCCTCATAACTTTCTTTTTATAAAGTGAGTGTTCAGTCTGGAAGACATTGTAAAGAGGGAGAGAGGGAACAGAAAGGTCAATATTGTGAATTGTAATTAGCTGATTTGATTTCTGTGCCAAATTCCCAGCTGTACGAAATCCACAGTACAATGTCGCTGGCATTCCTTCATCTCTGACACGTTACCCTTCTTTCAACACTCTGGAGCTCTAGACTCTTCTTTAGGACTTTTGCATTAATAATGGTTTTCTAGATTTGGATTTGTTTTCTTAATGTGTGAGGGTTAGGCTCACCAGCAGATGTCTGTGTAATGAAGCATATACCATAATCCTTCAATGTTGACGTTGTCTCCAAAATGGGAGTGATTTAAAACTAAACAAGTAATCTCACGGGCAAAATTTTGAAGACATTTTAATTGTACTTAAAAAAAAAATTGAGGGGCGCCTGGCTGGCTCTGTTTGGTTAAGTGTACGACATCAGCTCAGGTCTTGATCTCACAGTTCATGAGTTCGAGCCCTGCGTCAGGCTCTGTGCTGACAGCTCACAGCCTGGAGCCTGCTTTGGATTCTGTGTCTCCCTCTCTGTCCCTTTCCTGTTCATGTTGTCTCTCTCTCTCTCTCTCTCTCAAAAATAAGTAAACATTAAATTTTTTTTAAATTAGCAAAAAATAAAACAATCAGCTATATACTTAAGATTAGAATATTTTTTAAAAAATCAAACTACCAGAGAATACTGGGGGCATTGTACACAAGGTTGGAAAATGGCCTCTCAAAGATTAGCCATAGATCTTAGCCGGGGTCATCCAAAGTTTTAGGTAGTCATTCACAAGGTCTTCTGGAATTAATCTATGTTTTGGCTTTCTCCTTTTTCATGAGGTTGTGGAAGCTTTGAAAGAATTAAAGATACCATGCTACTTTATTTTGCTTCCATTCAATAGCACATTTATTGAGTACCTCTTATGTACCAGACATTACCTTAAATGTAATGCGGTTCAAAGATAAATAAGACTCAGTCCCTGTACAGCTCACAGTCTGGTGATAGAGCAAAGTCACATGCACAAATACATAATACCAGGCTGCATATATAACATGCTATTTAGGAGGTACGGACAAAGGAAGCAGCGGTGGAAAACAGAAAGGGAGAACAGGGCCGCCTGCGTGGCTCAGTCGGTTGAGCATCCGCCTTCAGCTCAGGTCATGATCTCACAGTTTATGAGTTTGAGCCCCACATCAGGCTTTGCGCTGACAGCACGGAACCAGCTTAGGATTCTCCATCCCTCTCTCTCATTCTCTCTCAAAATAAATGAAAAACATTTTTTAAATCTCCTTAAGAAAAGGAAAGGAAAAACCGTAATGACTATCTATGGTAGCCAGGAGGACTTAAGGAAGTGGCATTTGAACTTGGCTTGGAAGGATGGAGTGCTTTCAATAGACAGAAATGAAAGCAGCTCCGACTAGGTGCTCAATTAATGTTTGTTGATGGGACTAATGACAGGCAGAGATATGAGATGTGCTTAAGAAATAGCAAGTTTCCTAACCCAGATCTAATTGCAAATTCCCCTTATTATACGAAACAATTCGAATTCAGGTAATCCGTGACATACATGACGGTCATTTTTTTGAAAATTAACCTAAAAATGCTTATATCAAAAGCAATTTTCCCATATGAAGTAATGGAAAAGGAGGAGATCAGGGTGTAGTTGGTCAAATTGAAGTGATATTAGCAGTGTTCAAAGAATGGTTTATGGACCCTGGTGATCCATGAAGCCTAGGGATCTGCAAGGTCAAAATTACCTGCACAACAGTACCAAGATGTGCTGCCAGCACCACAGTATGAATCAAACCAATGACACCAGGACGCCTGGGTGACTCAGTCGGTTAAGTGTCCAAATTCAGCTCAGGTCATGATCTCGTGGCTTGTGAGTTCAAGCCCTGCGTCGGCCTCTGTGCTGACAGCTCGGAGCCTGGAGCCTGCTTTGGATTCTGGGTGTCCCTCTCTCTCTCTGCCCCTCCTCTGCTCGCTTGTGCTCTCTCTCTCTCGCTCTCGCTCTCTCTCGCTCTCTCGCTCTCTCTCAAAAGCTCTTGATCTTGGGGTCATGAGTTCAAGCCCCACATGGATGCAAAGATTACTTAAAAAAAAAAAAAAAAGCCATGGCTGAAGCAGTAAAAATGATTAGTTTATTAAACTATAACCCCTGAACATCCTTTAAAAAGTGTTCTGTGTTACAAAATGCAAAGTACATTTAAGGTATTTCTGCTGCAAACTATGTGGATATATGTCTCCAGGAAAAGCACTTGTAAGATTATTTAAGCTAGGAGCTAAACTGGCCTCATGTTTCATGGAATGCCATTTTTATTTGAGATAATACCTGACAAACTATGGTTATACAGACTTGGGTATTTGCTAGGCATTTTCTTTGAAAAGAATAAAGAGAACCCATCAGTTAAAGGAAAAGCTGACAGTATTTGTTGCTAATGAAAAAATTTAAACTTTCAAGAGAAACTCAACATTTTGGAAAACCTGTATCTGCCACTGTGAGCTTGAGAGCTTCCCAATGCTTAGACTTTTGCTGATGAGATTGGAGGCGATGTAATTAATGAATGTGATTCTTTATGTCCCATATAATGAAAAGGTGTTGACATTTGGAAGACCTGTATAGCTCAGTGAACCAAATAGTTTTTTTTAACGTTTATTTACTTTTTGAGAAAAAGAGACAGACAGAGTGTGAGCAGGGAGGGGCAGAGAGAGAGGGAGACACAGAATCTGAAGGCTTTGAGCCATCTGCATAGAGCCTGACGCAGGGCTTGAGCTCACGAACTGTGAGATCATGACCTGAGCTGAAGTAGGAGGCTTAACCAACTGAGCCACCCAGGTGCCCCTCATTGAACCAGTACTTTTGGAAGAACCCATGTAGGATGATACAAAATGGGTATAAGGTCCATTCAAAGTTCAGAACATACCAATGGATTTTAATGGAACAGAATGTGAAAAGTGTATTCATGTAGTTTCATATTCCACACTGCAACGGACTTCGCCCTTGTTCAGTGTTTGTGAAGTATCAAAGAAAAATAGCAACAGTTATCTGAAAAGGCTACAAACATACTTCTCTTTTGCCACTACATATCTGTGAGACACTGGATTTTCTACAAATATTTCAACCAAAACAACATGTAACAACAGACTGAATGGAGAAGCAGATATGATTACCAGCTTCCACATTAAGCTGGACTTTACAGACATTTGCAGAAATGTCCACCACCGCCACCCTTCCTTCTGACTCCCTTATGTCAGGGGAAAATGTATTTCCTTTTCATTAGAAAACGTTATTTCTGTTAGCACATCATGGGTTTATTACTGTTATGTTTAAACAAGTTATTAAATATTTCTTATACTTCTCAGTTATAATTTCTAAGATGGTAAGGATCAGTAAATATAACTTGTATAAACAGAAGTTCTCTGAGATTCCAAGTAAGTAAGAAGGGGTCCTGAGACCAAAGAGTTGGAAGTCACTAGTCTAGCCTGTGCATCTACACACAGGTGTAGATGTGTAGGATGGGGGTGGGGGAGGTCAGACAGAGGGTGCATTAAAGCAGCAGAATGGAGATGGTGCTAGAGTGGAACATGGTAGGTGGCTTGGCTTATCTGACACCATTACTGGTAGCTCGTTGGACTTGTCTTTCTTTGCTTGAAAAAGAAACAAAGCCACTGTCACATTTCTCTATGGTACACAGCTTGTTCCAAGTAGATCTTGGTGTAGCAGCTAAATCACAAGTAAAGGACATAAAAGTATACGTTGCAGTGACCGTGAAAACAGATAACAGAAACCACAGAAACCAAGATGTGTCGGTGCGTGCATTTTATTTTTCTGCATGCCTCTTGCACAATTGCAAAAATCTCACTTTTGGTAGATCCAACATCTTCTTTGGGCCATTATTTAAAACTAGGAAGTGGGCCTGACATTTAAGACTGAAAGTGGGTAGTGGGGCAGGAACAGAGGACATTGGAATACAGCCTCGGAGGGAGATGAAGCGGAAAAGCGAAATGGGGTCTGAGAACTGCCCCCAGAGACCATTGATGCTGTGAGCTGGGCTTTGAGGTCAGCTGAGAGATTTGGGGGAGGTGGGGGTCACCACACAATTAGAAAGACATCGACTACATAACTGAAAAGTCAGACACAAAACACACATGCCTCTTCGTAGGCATTTTACCTACAAGAAAGCAAAATGAATTTCAAACCATCTTATTGAAACTGTGGAAGAGGGAAAGATGTTTAAAGTTTTTCTAGTGATCAAGACATGATCTGTGGCAATTAATGTAAGTCTTCATTTAAAATGTGCGTAAAATGTCATTGCTAGTCTCTTCTAGTGGGAAGCATTTGTTATATTCATTTGGTGAATGGAAACCTAGGGGCTTCCATAGGGATCTTGTCTGATCTTGGTGTCCTCTCAGCCTATAAATATGCTTTGCCTATACATCCTGAGTTTCTCATCGGTGAGTTCTTCTACCGTAGAGGCTTTCGGGAAGTTAAATACCGTGGTATGGAAAAGTCTGGTGCACTATACAGTCCAGCTACTGGGTGGTAGAAATAGCGTAGAGGAGTAGAGAGTCATGTCAAATGCTATGGAATGATCCAGAAGTATAAAACTCTAAAGAATATGAGCAGTTTACACGTATCTACATTTGAAAACAATTTTTCAAAACTTCTGTGTAATCCATTCACCATTTTTTTTTTTAATGCCTCCTGTTCGCAAGACAGCTTTGGACCTACCTGAGAAATCTCAAGTGCTGTACGTTTCTGGTTATTTCTTTCAGCTCCTGAGAACCATGTCTGTGCCCAAAGGTAGAGTTCTGGATAAAAACCTTGACGAGGAAGGGCTCGAAAGTGGCGACTGTGGCGACGATGAAGACGAGTGCATCGGGGGCTCAGGGGATGGCACCACGAAAGTGAGGAACCAGCTCCGCTTCCTTGCAGGTGCGTGTGAGCGCCAGCGCGCGTCCGAACAAAAACGGTGATGCTTGCAGAGCCAACACCAGTTGACTCTGCTCTCTATAACTTTCCACAAGTCCCTGCAACATATAATGCCTTCGACTCTGCAAGGAAATACTATATTCTAGAAAAATAAAGTTTTCGAGTTTTTCCCCCCATCTCTGGACCCAGGTAGATTCAGAGGGTAACTTCCTGTTTGTTGTTTTATCCTTAAAATGAGCTGACCTAATCAATGGCTCTGTTTCCCATTGGACATTTCCTTGGTTCTTCTCAGTTATAAAGAGCTTCAGAGTCTAGCGAAAACCAACAAGGAGGGAACTTTGGAAGGAAGCATAAGCATACTGTTCTTGTTTTTGTCTTCATACCATTGCCCACACTTATTTCTGTAGAGACACTACTCTTATGTCCCTTTTTAAATTATACCCATCCCTCCGCTGTATGTTGACTATACTGGAATTAAAATTTAAAACTTTTTCAGAAAAATTATACCCATCCCTCAAAATGCATTTCAGGTTTGCTGCAGTAAAAACACAAACAAACAAAAAAACCGCTTTAGGGAGAGAGCAAACTTGCATTTGCATTCCGGCTCTCTTCCTCCTAAAACTTCACTCCCTTGTTCACCAAATGGGGGTCATTGCCCCAGCTTCACGGGACTACTGCAGGATTCAGTCAGGAGGGCAAGTTTGTAAAGCATCTAGCCTGGTACCTAGCACATACTAGGTGCTCCATAATTGTTAGTTTCCTTGAATGAAATCTTTCACAACCATCTCAGTCTACACGTGTCTCCACCCTCTCTGAATTACTAAAACAAATTCTACCAATGCGTTCACGAAATAGTCTGCAGTGGCTCCCAAGTTCCATTCCTTGGGCATAACGTGACCACCCAGAGGCTGGCATCTTATAATAAGTTAAAATAACAGAAGCCAACATTCATTGGATGTTAACCATGCTCCAAGCGCTGTGCTGAAACTTTACCTGCATTGCTTTATGTCACTTTCTCTATGAACGAGGGGCTGTCCTTACTCCTGCTTTACAGATGAGCAAATGGGTGCTGGAAGAGGTAGAGTAATTTGCTTACGGTCATGCAGGATCAGGGCAGAATTAAGGGCAGAATCGGGGCTCAAAGCCAGGCAGTGAGATTCTGGAGGCCACTCTTGGAACAGCTCCACTCCGATTCTTTCTCTGCCCATCTAGACAATTGTAGAAAGACTGAAATCTGCTTTGCATTTTGCTACCCAGGAAAGCTCTCAGTCATCTAAAACTTGCCCGCATGATTCACCAGCATATTGACTGGTTCCAGCATCGATCCTTGGGGCACACCACTTCTCATAAAGTCCCCTGCCTATCCCTGCTCTTGCTCTTCTAGGCAGAAAAGCCACTTCCCTATCCGTGTCAGAACACGACTCCACAGTTCCATGGTGACTTAACTTTTTTCAACAGTGTTTGGTAGGGGAACTTGTCAAGGGCCTTTTCAAAATCTAAATAGATTACATCCACTGGTTTCCCTTTGTCTACATGCACATTTATCCTCTCAAAGAATTCTAGTCAATTAGTTAGGCATGATTAACCCTAAGTGCTTTGTAAACTGTAAAACACTACACAAATGGTGGTTAATTTAATTTACAGGAAAAATGATGCCTTACCCCCAATAGGTTGCACTTGCCTAACATGTTCAGTGATCCTACCAGCTTGGAGCTCCTTCGGTCCCCTTTGAAATGCTTCTCATGGAGAGGAGACTCATTGGCAATCTGCCAGGTTCATGGCACAATAGCTGTTTGGAACGGCAAGCTATACACTCTGGTCAGCTGTTATACAATTTTACCCCAAATCTGGGTAGATGCCATCTGGTCCTGGTGATTCATCAACATCCATTTAGTCAACTAGGCTTGGAACACTCTGTGCGTTTACTGCCGTCTCACTTAGAATTCCAGATCCCTTCCTCCAGAACCCAACTTGGGAAACAAGACAACAAGGCTCAGAGTGGGTCCCGACCCTGTTCTATCTCCCGCTTGTCCCCATACGGACCTTTGACACCATAACCAACCAGTGGTCCTACTGGCCGGCTCCCTGGCTCCCATCTTCCCACGTTTCCCTGAACTGGATGAAGTGAAGGACACGGAGTTTCTGTTCCTGACTTTGTTTCTGACTCCCATGTGTCCTGGGTCAAGCCCCTTCCTCTTTTTGGAAGTCGGTTTCTCCATTTGTGAAACAAAGAGCGTGCCCGGTTCTTGCAGGCCATTCTAGCGCCAGCGATGTGTGATCCTGTGCCTTTATTTGGCTTTGGTCCCCAGCAGGGCGCTTCTTTGGAGTCTCAGGAACATCTTTTGTGTTTTCTTCTGAACTCACTGGTTCCCTGCTTTCTTACTTCGTGTCTCTCTGTTACATAAGATGGTGGCAATGAAATAAAATCATCATCATCATAAAATCAGCCATGCAGAGCATTTGGCGAGGTGCCTGGCACCTAGTAAGCACTCACAAAAGGCTATCTACTATTAAAGCAACTGGTCTGTTGCTGCTAACTGCTGACCTCTGGAGCTCAAAGTAGCTTCGAATTAGCTTGTTCTGTTTGTTTGCTTAAGACTCATAAAAGGCAATTAAAACCAGGTAACCGCCATGCGGCAACATCCCCCGTACCCCTTCCTAGTCCAAGTGGGGTCCGTGGACCAGCAGCAGCTGTATAATCTGGGAGCTTGTTAGAAATGCAGAATCTCAGGGCCCACCTCCAGACCTGCTGGGTCATAAGGTCACATTGACAAGGTCCCTAGGTGATCTGTTTGCACCCTTACCACCTTGTAACTGAGCTGTTGTGGATTTAGGTTTAAAACGTGAAGCATCTGAGAAGCCACTAAACTGGCCACAAGGTGCTAAGTGTTCCAGGCATATGAAAGAGGCCTGAGGCCTGGTCACCTGTATGATAGATACGTTAGGATGCTTGGATTCCGGTTCTAGAACATTTACTCACAGTGGGACCTTGAGCAAGTGATGTCATGCTCTGAGCCTCAGTTTCTCCAGCTGTAAAGTGGGGCTGCTCATCCTCACCAAGCTCAATGAGTTGTGGTGGAAACCAAAGGCGATAATGAGTATGAAGGTGCTTGACAACCTGTTAAGCTCTACAGATATTAATAACAACCAGGAGACTGTTATTATCAATGCAAAATCTCTGGACTCTCTGGCTTTCTCAGCATCCCTGGTTCGGCACACGTTTTCTGCAAAGACTGAATTTAGCCCATGAGTTAGAAAATGCTTTTGCACTGAACACCAAGTTCAAGCTCCCTTCCAGAGACAGATCATCTGTGATGGACCTGGTGCAATAAGCTGACTGTCTTGTCGCCGGGTTGCCGTCAGCACTGTTCGCAGTTATTGGCCTCGTCAAAGCTCTCATTGTGAGCTGTTTGGGAAGCTGGCTACTCCCAGCGCTTTGGCTGGGGCTGATTCCTGAGAAGCTTTGCAAGCCCTGGCCAGGTGTCCCCAGCCAAGACATGATGACTGAGCATCTTAAGCATCTGCCCCCTCTCTGCCAAGTCTGCACTCTCACCCACACAGAAAACCATGCATACACAGTGCATACTCACGTAGGTGCGCATGTGCGCGCACACACAGCCTGCTGTTAGAAACAAAATTGAAACACATGCTCACGAAGCAGCCCGGCAAGAGACACGCACCTTAGAGATCTGTTACCACTCCCTCACCCCCTTCTTCCCTGGCCTTGTGTTGGCTCCAGCTTGCACTGTTTTGTGGCACAGCCAGAACATTCTGGTGAGCCTAATGTCTTTATAACCATGAGTCAGAAAAAGAAGGTAATTCCATCTCAAGCTTGGTCCAACACAGGGGGACGTGATCGTGGGTACTGTGATAGCCTAGTTCTTTGGCTGAGGGATGTGGAAACAGGCTGTAGAAGAGAGACACGTCCCTCGTTGCCATGTGGGAGTAAGGTGGCTTGAGCAGGTTGGTGGCGAGCTGAGGGGGAGACTTCATGAAACACATCTTGGACTTACAACTTGAACCCGTATTAAAACCAAATGGATGCTTCTTACCCATTCAAACAGGTGTTTCTTGTGGAAACGTTCGCCCTCAAGAAACTTTCAGTTTCACCATGTCAGTGTGGGGACTGAAAAGAGAAAAACTGCCACTTGTTCTTTGGCTGGGGGTCAGGGTGAAGGTGAAATCTAGGCCCAGACAGGTCCCTTTTGCTATCGTGTGCTGTCGTGTCCAGGTGTTGTGACAGACAGCAGCCGTTTGCTCTGCCCCACCAGTCACCTCCCCCCAGCGGTGCCCGAGCGAAGCCATTAAGACTCACAGCTGTGGGCCCCATGAGTCTCTACGCTCCATATTTCCTCCGCGCCGTTAACTTACAACCCAGAGGCAAGAGAACAACTCAGAACAAAAACAGCATTTAGGAATATTCTTTAAGCCCATGATTTTCATTCATTTGTTTAGTGCTTCAAGTATAACCTTATATTCTGACTCCTAGCAAGCCTGCGCACCTAAGGAGATGAGGGACACTTCGAGAGCTTAACTCTTCTGAATTGTCCAGTCAGACCTTCATAATGTGGGCCAGTAGTCACGTCGTATGAATAAATTCATTAATGGGTTGGTTTGGTGACACGGATAAAAGCAGAGGAGGAACTTTATAATGGGCCTTTTCTCGTGGGTGATGTCCGCAAGGTTATAACACTTTAGAACAAATCGCATTGCCTGTTGAAGAGTAAGTAGGAAGTTTGTCGAGGAATGAAATGTCCTGGATTTGTTGTCGTTGGTGGTGGTGGCGGTCTTTTTGGTTTTGTTTTATTTTGTTTGGTTTTTATGGGAAAGTTGCTGAGACCTGCTCAGAGATTAAAATACGTGTGAGGGGCACCTGGGTGGCTCAGTCAGTTAAGCGTCCGACTTCGGCTCAGGTCATGATCTCACGATTCATGGGTTGGAGCCCCACATCAGGTTCTGTGCTGACAGCTCAGAGCCTGGACCCTGCTTTGGATTCTGTGTCT